TCTTTAATCGTAAATTTACCTTTTCTTATCATTTTTTGGCATACAGTACCGGAATTTTTTTATCTAAGAATAAGACTAGGTACTATTCACGGACCCACACAAACTTTAAAAGGGTTACTTTATATTCAATGCCAAGCGATAATTCGTATTTGAGTTTTGTTGATTTTAAGCTTATATATCACAATACAATAAAGTATGCTTTGTTTAAATGATGATATATTCGGTATTATCCATTTATTGTACAAATAACGACTACTGATGAAAAAACATAGTCCAAATAAGTCAGAGTCTCACCGTTAGGATACGCACTTACCGTCTACTGATATATAAGATACAATAGTAAATATATAAAATTTCACATATATTTTTATATACATATTGTTTATATTATTATTGTAATATGCAATAGATTTTTTTTTATTTGAAAGAACTTTCTCAGATGTCAATGATTCGATTAAGCAGCATTAAAAAAGATATAAACCCGTCTTAAAGCGACTTGGACTACTTTACTAAAAAATCATCCATCAATCAAGTCAATCAAATGCTTTCTCGCAAGATAAAACTTACAATCTCCTATCTTTCAATCCTTCTTATATCTTGCGTCTCTGGTACTCATTATCTTTTTTCAGCATACAGTACTTCAATAGAAAAAAGATTAGGTTTTAATTCTGTACAAATAAACATTATTGGAAGTGCTTGCGATTATGGTGTATACATGGGTAAACCATTTCTCGGTTATTTAGTTGACAACTACAGTGCTAGAAGGTTTGTTTTCGAATTTATGTAGTTTATTTGTTATGTTAATGTCAATTCTCCCAATTTATTATTATTATTATTATTATTATTATTAGAGTATGCTTTGCCTTATCGATCCTAATTTTTTTCGGATTTTCCTGTCTTGCATTAACCTATGAACAAGTTCTTCCATCATCGTTCCTTTTATGCACTTTTTATTTGCTTTGCACTGGTGTTGTCTCATCCGGAGGTACTTTCATTATTTCAATGATTTGAGTGTTTGAGCATGATTTTTCTAATAAATATTTTTACTAATTATTATTAACTCTAGCTGTGGTATCGTTTCTCACAATAATTGTAAGTCTTCCTAAGATGACATTGCTTATTGAATTATTATATACGTATACTTATGTATATTGTGTAATGTAGGCAAAAAATTTTTCTTCGCATTGAGGTACTACAATAAGTATCCCAATCGCGTTACTTGGCCTCTCTGCATTTTTATACTCTCAAGCAAATATATACTTGTTCGAAGATACCTTCCATTTTCTACTCTTCATAGCCTTCTCAACTGGATTAACTATGTTATTTGGTAGCCTGTTTTTAATTGTTGTACCGGCTCCTAGTCATGTGTCCAATGCCATTGAGTTAGGCAGTGATGATTCAATCCCTGTAGATAGTAGTCCGTCACGTGTATTAGGTCTGACAACTGAACAAACTCCTCTACTCAATAAAACTTCTACTTCATCTATAAGTGTTGAAGTTGATAGTGAGCCTGATATAAGTGGATGGCAATTACTTCAAAATAAAGATGCCATCTCATTAATCCTCATCCTAGTATTGTTAGCTGGAACTGGATTAATGTACATAAATAACGTCGGTACAATTGTTGAAACTCTTTATCACGCCTCCCTAGCTCATCCTTCTCATCCTTACTCCCTACCAACTTCTTTAAATTCTGATATCAAAAACCTTCAAAGCTTTCATGTCTCGCTACTTTCTATAAGTTCATGCCTCGGAAGAATTTTCATAGGTCCTCTCTCTGATATAACAAAAAATTATTTTGATTTATCTAGAATTTGTTCCTTGATATTTGCTAGTATTTTGCTATTCTGTGAAAATTTATTGGCTCTTTTATGGGTTCGAGATATGGCCAAACTATGGATTGTCACAGCTTGTATTGGACTCGGGTTTGGAACCTTATATGGGATTGCTCCAACTACCTGTAGCGAGTATTTTGGTTCGAAACGGTTCGGATTTAATTGGTTAGTTTTAAACACTAAGGGGTGTCAAATATTAACTCAGTATTCCCTCTGGGATTTTTTTTTTGACCCCTCAAAGTCAGTCACTTGATAGAAAAAAAATTCATAATAAGGCTAGTTAATATGAAAGCATTAATAAAAATTACGGGATGATCTTTAGTGTGGCGAAATTATAGATTAATTTGTGGCACGTAACTTTCGCGTGACACAAAATTAATCTATGGTTGCGCCACACTACACATGCTAAACAAGTCTCATTATGTAATTTTTTAATGCTTTTCATATTAGCTAGTCACTTTATGTAATTTTTTCTACTATTAAATGACAAATAACTGACTCTGAGGGAGGTCTGATAAAAATCCCAAAAGGGGGTATAATTATATTTATAAGTCCACCTATTATTAAATTGCATTATAAAAAAAAATTTTGTTTATATTAATATCTAATTTTATCTATTTTAAAAAGGGGTCTAATATCTTGCGTAAGTACGGTATTATTTTTTGCATTTTTAACCATTCCTTTTTATTTATTGATATCTTTCCCTTTTTTACTTTACAACAAATAGTTTCCAGCTATAGGTGCTCAAGGTTTCAATCTTTTATTTGGTTACAACGATGATTTGCATATAGATCATTGTAGGGGTGCTGAATGTTACAAGTTTGCATTTTATTTTAGTTCTTTTGGTTGTTTTATAAGTATTTATATTGCCTATCGTTGGTTTATTAATGCTCGGAAAACATAGTGAAAATATCGAATATTAAGATCCAAATTGTCATGTTCATGTACAGTTGGAGAATAATATATCCATGATCTCTATTTCCTAACTGTACATGTTATACATCAATCCATTATTTTTGTTTATTTCAAATTAACACATATTATTTTAAATTTTATAATGATTGGAATGTTACGTATGTTGTAACGAATCGGTTTCTTTTTTTTTTTTTCTCTACTTTAGTTCTATTTTAGTTTTATTTTAGCTTATTATTGTTAATAGTTTTATTTACTCCCACCAATTCCATTTTGATAACAATGCCGGGGGAGAATTCAATTAGTTATACTAAATAGGTGATTGATAAAGGCTTAGTGGTTTATCTCATGTAAACGCGTATATGTGCTTGTACAAAATACGTAGATTCTGCGCCAAGAGCATAATTGCTCAAATTAGAGCGTATTCACTTGAGAAAGAGTGTATACACTTAAAATAGAATGAATTTGCCCCAAATAGAGCGTAAACGCTCTAAGAATCTTTATTGTATATAAATTCTTAAATTCTAATAAAGTTGGAACTTGGACGTTTCTTTCTTGATATACAAGTATTAATGAAATAGTATACTTATCTTTTAACCTTAATAAACCTTGCGAGACTCAATTCAACGGACTGAATTGACTTGTAACTTCGCATTGGATTATTATAACTCGAGTTTTATTTATTTCTTTGAATTGCTTATGTAACTCTCATTCACCTTTCGAACTGATTCAATTGTCCCTAAACCTTTGCTTATCTAATCCCCAATCCCGTAATCGGTTGGAGTTCAAATTGGCACTATTTGTCTATAATTGTTAAGCTCTCCCAAATACAACATTACATTTGGTGCCAATTGTGTGGAGTGAAATAAAACCTCCCGACCTTCCCTAAGTCTGTAGATTACATGTTATCCCTTAGCTTTCCCATGGTCTCCTTTCAACAATTACTAGCCAAATCCAGCCAAACTTCTTCCACGCCTCTTATTATCTGTCACTGCTATTTACAACAATGATATTCACAAGTTTCTTATCACTACAACAATGAAGTAGGTCAACCTGAGGAATAAATGTATTCACCACTCACTCGACACCCATTCAAGAAATCCTTGTGTCCCTAATGATAAAGAAAGAGGCATTCCATCTTTGAATATCCAGAAGTAGAAAATTTGGATAAAAGGTGTACAAACTTTTTAAAAAGACTTACCGCAGAACAAATCAGAGAGTTCCAAGAAATAATAACCTGACAGTTTCCAGAAGCCCTTAACAACAAGCAAATTCCCAAAGCCCTAGATTTTATACTAAAAGTCTTAACAAATATAATTAGAAATGAAAAAAAGAAAGAAGCTGAAGAAACTGCACACTTCACTTTCTGTATTGCAGTATCCCACCAAAAGGTTTGTCAGGTTGAGCCCCAAAAGAAACCAACTGTTAATGAAGTTCCTGATACTTATTA